AGAGGATTGGAGCCTTTGCTAAATGGGACCAGCACAGGGTCAGAGAAAGGCTTTGGGAGACTCAGAGGCCAGGACAGCCACAAGAGGGCGGCAGAGGAAGCTGGAGACTGGAGACAGAGGGAGCATGTAGTTCAAGCAGGTCAAATTCACTGGTGGGGAGGCCACATGGGGCCCACAATGAATATTTTGGTGGCCCAGCCAATATAATGGTATGTAAGAAACGTTTGATGAAAAATTTCGTTACCTAATTTTTATAATATCCTGTTATGAATAATCCTATCTAATAAAGAGGGGATATGATAATTGACCCTCATGCCATCGCAATCATGGCACCCACAGCAAATAAGGGGGGAATATGTTAATTGACTGCCCTGCCCCCAAAGATGGTGGCGACCACAGCCACAAGATGGTGGCGCCCAGTCCCCTCAGCCGCCCAGCTGCCCAGGGCCAGCCTGAGGTGCAGGCAAGCCTCGGATGGTGGCTGCCCAGCCGCCCCGAGCCTCCGGAGGCTCAGGTAACCAGGACTGGCCGAGGCTTGCACTGCCAGCAGTGGCAGCAGCAGAAATGTGATGGGGCGTCACCTTCCCCTGATCGCCAGGTTGCCCCCCACCCCTGAGGGCTCCTGGGCTGTGAGAGGGGGCAGGCCGGGCTGAGGGACCCCCTCCAGTGCATGAATTTTTATGCACTGGCCCTCTAGTTATTAATAACAAACTACAACGTTCCCTAACGCCTGATTACTATAATCATGTTGCATTCGTTTCCCTTAAGTGCCTTGTGCGCAGGTGCACCATTTCTCTCCACTAATACTAGCAGCCAATATTGCAGAAGCCAATTGCCACGTTATTAGTCTTGGACTCACTTATTTGGTGTGTGCAACAGGAAATATTTCGCTTTTGGAGAACAAGAAAAATAGGTTTATTTGCACCATGCCCATTAATTTGTGCAGTTATTCAGTGTCTGGTAAGTTAATGTCCAAGGAAAAATGTCAGTTTTTATTAAAATGTTCTATTATTTGATGTGAACGATTACTCTTTATTTCAGCCCTTTGTATTCAGCATGTCTCTATTGAAATAAACCTATGTTTCTATGAAAATTACTGAAGCTTTTTTGTTTGTTTGTTTGTTTTTTTTGTGGCCCACATAAACTTAAACCTTGTTTATTTGGCCCGTGTTAGCCTTTGAGTTTGACATGTTCAATGTAGATAGTCAAGTTCATAGATAATGTGGATCCAAAATGCAGTCGACCTCTGTTCTTGAACATCTGGAACAATTAGGATCTCAACCCAGAAAAATGTCTCAGTTGTCACCCAAAGTTCAGTTTTAGACCTGACAACCCCTTCCTGCTGATACCTCAGCATGACAAAAAGCATCTCTCAGCCAACAATCAAAGGAGATAGACTACTTTTGCTGCTGGGGAAATCCACCATTAGCACAATTTTAAAAGATAAAGAGGCCATCAAGACTGCTGACATTGCTAAGGGTGTGAAAGTGCTCCCAACATAACAATCCCAGGCACTTGAATAGATAGAAACCCTGTTGCTGATTGGATAAAAAAAAGCATGAAGTGGTGGTAGCATTTCCGAGGCAGTGATGCATGAAAAGTTGCTTTAGGGCTTATAGGGTGTGGTTCAATGCATTTAAGAAAAGAAGTGTTTATTTATACTAACATTAAAACCTTTTTATCAGTTGGCGGTCTGGAACAGATTAACTCAATTTACATAATTTCTAATGGGGGTGGGAATGATTGCGTTTTCAAACAAATTGCTTCCCAAACAGCCTTCTAGAACTAATTAAGTTTGAGAAAGGAGGTTCTACTATTCAGACTTTGCGATACAAAGCAATATGTTCATCGACTCTTGACTTACTGTTTATACATGATTCTTTTTTAACAATTAATTTTACAGAGAGGAAGGAAGAGAGAGAGAAAAAAGACTTTCAATTAGGATTGACATTCAATATTATATTACTTTCAATTTTACAACATGATGGTTAGACATTTATATAACTTGGAAAGTGATTTCCCCGGATAAGTTTAGAGGCCACCTGGCACCATGTATGCTATTAGTATGTTACTGAGCGTATTCCCCATGCTGTGCTTTCCATCCCCATGACTATTCCATACCTGTCAACTAGTACATCTCCATCTCTTCACCTTCACACCCAGCCACACCAACCCCTCCCATCTGGCGACCATCCATCTGTCCTCTGTATCTGTGAGTTACTTTCTCTCCCCCCCGCCCTCCACCACCCCAGATTCCACATATAAGTGAAATTATATGGTATCTGTCCTTTCCTGTTGGACTTATTTCACTTATTAGCATAATACCCTCTAGGTCAATCCACGTTGCTGTAAATGGTAATATTTCCTTCTTTTTGTTGTTGTTTTTAATCTAAACCCAACAATATCTTTCCATTGATTTTTAGAGAGAGTGGAAGAGAGGGAGGGTTGGGGAGAGAGAGAGAGAAAGAAGGAAGGAAATAGAGAAAGGGACAGAGAGAGAGAGATGTGAGAAAGATTGGATGCCTCTCATTCCCACACGAAATGGGATGGAGAATCAAACAGGAAAGCCAGATTGTGCCCTTGATCTGGATTCACACCCCACACCCTTTGGGCTCACTGGCCAGAGCAAGATTTCCTTCCTTTTTATGGCCCGGTGATATTCCATTGTCTATGTGTGCCAACCCTGCTTTACCCATTAGCTTTACTATTGGAACGTTTAATTTAAAGTCATCACTGTTAGCCCTAACAGGCTTGGATCAGTGGATAGAGCATTGGCCCAAGGACTGAAGGGTCCCAGGTTAGATTCTTAACCAGGGCACCTACCTGGATTGTAGTCTCTATCCCTGGGCCAGGTTGGTGTGCCTGTGGGAGGCAACCAATCACAGTGTCCTTCTCACATTTCTGTTTCTCTCTGTCCCTTCCAGTCATTCTAAAAATGAATGGGAAAATATCCTGAGGTGAGGATTAACAATCCTATATAATAAAAGGCTAATATGCAAATAGACCGAACGCTGGAACAACCGAACAACCGGTCGCTATGACATACACTGACCACCATGGGGCGTGCACAGAACATAGTGGGAGTCGGCAGCAGGTGGCAGAATGCGGAACATGGCAAGCATCAGTGGAGCAGGTGGAGCGGGGGCGCCAGACCCAAGGCGGGGAGCCAGTCATGGTCATTAGGTCAAGCCTCTGCTGGTAACTGAAAATTCTTTGCTCCCATGCGCCGTGGTCCTGCCTGGCACTCACACCTGTTGCTGGTGCCCAGCGCTGGCCCTGATCGCTCGGTGCCATGAGCCGCTGTGAGCAGTGGCTGCCAGCCCTGATCACCCCTCAGGGCTTCTCCACCTCCCCCTGCTCCTGAGGGTGATCGGGGCTGGCAGTCACTGCTCACACTCGCTGCTGGTGCCTAGTGCTGGCCGCAATCCCTCTACGCCATTAGCAGTAGCAAACAGGGCTGGTGCTGTCAGAGTGTGGGAATGGCAGGAGCGGGGTTGCTGGCAGACTGGGGACTGAGGGCCACAGCAGGAGGGGCTGGGCAGAAGCATCGAGGATGGGCCGTGACCTCGCCTTATGCCCACTGCAGCTTCGTGACCCACAGTTCCTTTCAAGGTGCACAAATTCATGCACTGGGCCCCTAATCTATATATATAAAAGGCTAATATGCAATTTAACTCCCTTTGGAGTTCCACCAGGAGACTGGGAGTTTGATCACTCACTATGACTTGTGCTGACCTCCATGGGGTAGCACTGAACGAAGGAAGGCCTCAGCCGGCTCTGATCACCAGCCAGGCCTAGGGACCCTACCAGTGCATGAATTTTGTGCACTGAGCCTCTAGTAATATATAATTTCTTTTAAAATATAAAATAATCATTGCTATTTATATAATTGTTCCCATTATTTTTATTATTTTGTATATTCCTCCATTCCTTTCCTATTCTACTGTTCTATTTCCTGTATGTTGATTTTGTGTAGTGTTATCTTTGAATTCCTTCCTCCTATTTCTTGTGTATGTCTTGCACTGGTGTGTGGTTAAATGGAACCTTCGCTTATGACATATCACCAGCCTCTCCATGATTGACAGTTGGAAACCCATGATAAAAAAAATAACCCAAAATTGAACTCCTCTCTCACCAAATCAAGTCCAGATGTACTAATGACCAGTTTGCAACCAGAAGAGGAGACACAATGAACACAACTTCTATAAACTTGTACGTCAATTTGAAAGTGAAGCTTATAAAAGTCATTTTAATTTTTAATCCATTTATTATTTTGCAGCACCAGTTTTCCACTGATAAAAACGACAAAGACATAATATAAAAACAGGTAATGAGTCATAGTGAAATAGAATATATTAAAATCAATAAATTTTACCAATGGAAAATACAAATGGGACAAAGGTTTGTAAGGCGTTCATTGCCTAGAAATAGAAGCAATTCAAATATATTTTAAAAATTAATAAAAATATAAATATGTTATGAGTTGAGTCTACCCGGTGTCCAATTATGCCGTGAGAAGGGGGTCAATTCTCCGAGTCCAGGGAATGCGATAGGAAAAGAACAAGGAAGGCACGAGTCACAGATGTGCACACTCGAAAAGCTTGTCCAGTCCTACCGGTGCCAGAGCACGCCGCCAGCAGGAGCGTGGAGGCTGGGCTGGGTCCTTGGGAAGGTTCTGGGCAGCAGCTCTCCAGTGGATCCTGCACCACCAGCAGCTATGGCGCTCCCAGCTCTGAGAACTGGCAGCGAGGTCACGTGAGCCCTACTGGGTGCAGCCAGGACCTCAGAGTAGCCTGAGATGACACGCGTGTGCGGTGGCCACGAAGGGGGCACAGCCCAGGCCACCTCCCCAAGGTGGATGCTAAGAGGTCCGCTGACTCTGCACAAGAGCAACTGGCGGCAGAGACGCACCGACCAGTGCTTCTCGCACCCACATGGGCGCACACCCTGGTCCCCTCTGGTCCCGCGGCATCTGCAGGACTTGGCGGGGACAGAATCCCTTAGAGATCCAGTAACTTGTAGAAGTCCTCTTCGCTCTCATCCCAAGGCGTGCAGAAGGAAAACTGGGCCTCAAAAGGACTTTTGGGTGAGAGCAGCTCTGTGTATCCAGGGGTCACAACAGGGTCGGGAAAGAAATTGAAGGTATAGGGGCCCTGAGGCCCAACTGTGTCCTTGGCTGGAGCTGGAGCAGCTGCTGCGAGGACCACGCTTTGGGCACCCTGCTCAGGGTCCCACCAGGCGTGGATGGAGCTGAAGCCTCAGGGTTCTGCTGCTGGGAACTCTTGGAAGGGGCTGCCTGGAGGGGGGCTGCGGAAACCTGGGCCGGGGCGGTGCAGGGAGGCGGCGAGGTACACAGGGCCGGTGGGGAGCATAAAGCAGACTGTGAACATTGGCTCCTCAGGGAACACACATGGCAAGGGCAGGACAAGTCTGGCAGGGAGCACAGGATCCTCCTGAGACGCAGGGCCCGCAGGCACAGGCGCGGGCGCGGGCTGAGGGGCGGGGGCTCCCGGTTCCTGGGGCGCAGCGTGGGCTCCCTGGCCTTGCTGCCCGCTCAGTCGCTGCAGCCTGCGGTCTTTGGCCCTGCGGTTCTTGAGCCACACCTGGGGAGAGAGGGGACAGGGAGCAAGTGTAAGAGGGGAGAAGCTGGGCGCTTCCGCCTGCGCCCAGGGCTGAGGAGGCTCAGGGAAGAAGGGCCGGCCTCACCCTCTCCCTCCGCCCCCAGACCCAACTCTGGGCGCGGGGTTGGCTTGGACTCCAGGGAAGGCGCAGAGGACAGGAGGGCAGGGCTTGGACACCCAGGGACCAGACAGGGGTCTGCGAGAGAGGGTCCCCTAGTTCCCAGAGGCTGGAGGTCTGGGGCCGTGCCTGGCGAGAAGCGAGGGGCTGCATCGCATTGGCCAGTTTGCCCCACACAGGGCTGAGGTGGACTCAGGGTCCAGGCCCGGACAACACCGCTGACCCAGGGAAGCACCTGGTCCTTCTGGCCTGGTCTTGCCCGCAACCCCCTGCTTCACGGTAGGGCATGGATTGGGCCAGGGGGCAGCAGGCAGTGGGAGCGAGTGGTGTGATTCCTAGGGTGGGGGTGGGAGTGGGGACTGTACCTGTACTTGTTCCTCCTGCACCTTCACCTGCTTCGCCAGGGTCTCGCGTTCCTCGTAGGTCCCGTAGCGTTTCTTCTTGTAGAATTCCTCCAGCTGCAGCCGCTGTTCTATGCTGTACACCGTGCGCTTCCGCCTCTTACTCCCATGGGCTGGGGAAGGTGGAGAGCCTGGAAGAAGGGGAAACAGGCTGAGATGAGACCCACAGACAGTCCGCAGCTCACCAGGCCCTTGTGAGAGGCGGGGTCCCCAGGCGCAGGGCAGCTACCGCGCTGTGGATAAGAGCCTGGCATCTGACCCACACCCCCAACTGCCGGCCTGACCCCTGACCTCTGTAGGCCTGGGCGTCCACATCTCCGAAAGGGGCCCGGGAACAGCGCCTGCCTGCTTCTTTCGGGGCCCACAGCCAGGCATGGTGGGGCCCTCAAACTCACCCAGGCTGGTGCCCCGGGTGGGCTTCCCCTCCACCAGCCCTCACTCCGAAGGTGTCATTCCATCCCCCAAACTCACCAAGCCTCCCAGAGCAGCTGGCCGTGGTCTGGAAGCCCGGGAGCCTCCAGTCCCAGCCCCAGGATCCCACCTCTGGTCCCCAAGCCCTCACGGTGGGCCCAGACTCACCCGGGGGCGACTCAGGTTCCTGCATCCTGGATGCTCCTGGGCCCTCTGTGTTTGAGGCTGGGCCCCCAGGCCTGTATGTGCCGCCTTAAATCCCTGTTAGTAACCCACCATCCACCGGGCAGGTCCTAAAGGTTCTGCCCTGACTCCTCCTGCCCTGTCCTCAGGCCCCGCCCCGTGGGGGTTGGGGGAGGCGCTATCATTGATTAGTCCTTTGATTGAGAAGTTAACTGCACCTGGTCCTTGTCCTGGGGGCTGGGAAACCTCTGGGGTCAGACAGCCTTGGTCCTGCCCTCAGGTGAACCCACTATTGTGTCCGGATGAAAGGTTCCCTCTAGTCGCCAGCCAATGCCCAGGGGTCATCCTCTCCCTTCCCGGTCCTGGGAGCCCCACCTCTCCCACCATCCAGCTGCCTCCTCCCAGGTCCCCAGCGCCCACTCCCACTTCTCCAGTCCATCCTCCACGTTTCCCCCCAGGGCCTGGAGTTGGGAGACTTCACACACGCTGGCCTGACCGTGGTTTGGGGTCGGGCTCGTTTCCCTGTGCGGTGAAGGGGAGATGGGGTGCAGGTGGGCAGTTAGCCGATTTCCCTTGTGAATGAATGACCTGGGTCTGATCTATGTGTCACTGGTCACCCAGTCCAGCCCCTCTGAGCTGCACAGGCCCGTGTTTAAACATAGGGCTGGACCCCTTGCTTGTCCAGGGTCTGCTGGGGACTCAGGTCTAGAGCTCATCCCCAGGGGACTTTTATTAGAATCCACGGGAGAGACAATGACCTGGGTGATCAATACAGAAAAAAACAAAACTATGAGATCTCGCTGCTCGATTCAGCTCACGGTCCGAACTGGTTCTTCCTGTGTCAGGGTGGGGTCTCCCCTCACTGACATCTCCCTGCTTCCTGGGAGCACGTTGGTCACTGGGACAGTTGATGACTCTGATGTCCACAAGGGATAATGCAGCCATTTCCTCCGTTTACAAATTGTGACCAGACACTGCTTCCTCTCTAATGTATAAAGAAAAACATGGTGTAACAAACAAAATACTAAGTGTAACATTTTGCTGATTGGATGGGCAAAGCTGAGAAGAGGGGCCAGGCCTGGGGTTGGGGGAGGGGATGGGGAACCGGGCCTTTCATGCCTTGGAGTGTGGGCTGGTTTCTGAGACAGACTTGGTGATATCTGTCCAGGTCCCTCAGCCAAAGACCGCGAGTAGGACACCAGTAGTTGAGCAAATTTGGGTTTATTTACTATTTAAGATTTTTTTTCATAGTCTTTATATCTTTTTTTCGTGCTGTTGAGCATCTTTGCTATCCTTACTCTAAACTCTATTGAAAGTACATTTTTTAAAAAATCTCAGCTTCATTTATGTCTCCTTCTAGAGAATTCTCTTGTTTTTCATTTGGGGGTTGTTTGTCTCCTTATTTTGGCTCTCTGATTGGGTTTGTCACTATGTTTTTGTAGATCCTCGACAGCTCTCAATCTGAAGGGCAGGACACAGTCAAATGTGGTTTCTGACTAATTAGAACAGGGAAAGCCTCAAAGCCTCCAGAGACTGCCTACAGACTGATAGGATTTCCACTTGAATTTGCCCCTGGCAATCATCCTCAGGTGTGGGGGAGTTTTTTCAACAGGGTGAGGCCATGGCTTTTGCCTGGAGGTTAACTGTTCTTTTGGTCTCTTAAGTAGCCTCAGGGCAATGTAATTGCCATTAGAGTGGGTCAACGGTCCCACCACCACCACCACCACCAGGCAAGGCAAATGCCTGTATGGGAAAGATGTCCTTAGCTGTGTAAGGGAATGACTCAATAGAGGAAACTGGGGGTGTCTGCCTTCTGAGCTCTAACCTCCGAGTCCCTAATCCTGGGTTCTGCTCACACAGCTCCAGTCCACTCCGCCCTCTCTCTGCCACAGCACAAGGTGGAGTTTTGTACGTTGGCCCTTTAAGAGGATGCCTGAATCTCTAGCCGTCTCTCCCTGTCATATAGCAACACCAATGCTTTTCACAGCCAGGTGTTATGTAGGTGCTCATCTCAGTTGTGGTGCTCTGGCAGGGGGCCCCAGCTTGGGGATTAGATCCCAGAGTTCTCAGTTGCAACTCCCCACAGCTGAGATATCTCCAGAACTTCAGTTGCTGCCTGTGGGCACCTGGCCACCCCTTGCGCCCCTCCGCACCGCCTACCAATCTCTGCAGTCTTCACTATCAGTCCTTGGGTATCAGGGTTCCATTGATTATGCAGGAAGTTTTTCTGTATTTTAGTTGTAATTCCAGTTTGTTCCTGGGGCATGTTCTTGCAGCATCCCCTTGCTCTACTGGCATTTTTAAACTCCTCAAGAATTTTTTAAAGTAATTTTGTTATTTATTGATGGAATACAAACAGAAGATCTATGTTTTACAGGGAGAATTTGTCCTCTTCTATGAGCCTCAAAAAGGACTACTGGGGGTTTTTAACCCCCATGACTGTGCCTAGAATCCAGGGCTTAGCAGCTGTATACAAAGACTCTATCTACTACATAGCTGGAACCTGTGGAAATCATCAACGCATGTTTACTGTAGAAGCCTATGACACTGAGCTAAATAAACGGACTCGTAAGAAGGACTTTCCATGTGATGAATCCATCCATCCATACCTTAAACTGGTACTTTTCCTGAATAAACTTCATTTATTTGTTCGAGCTACTCAAGTGACCGCTGAGGAACATGTCTTCAGAACCAGCAGGAACATGTCATCATCTCTTTATCAAGATGATGACATCACTGACCAATGGATGAAAGTATATGAGACCCCAGATCGGCTCTGGGACCTTGGCCGGCATTTTGAATGTGCTGTTGCTAAACTCTATCCTCAGTGTCTTCAGAAAGTACTTTGAGTAGCCGGCCTTAGTGAGCTCAATGACATCTACTGCTTGAGGAAACTTAGTCGTTCAATGGTATAAGAAGTGCTGCCGGTATTTAAGAAAGCTGAGAGTTTGTGCACGGAGTGAGTGCTCTGAAAGATTACAGTGTAGGGAGGGATGTCTTTTCACCCTTGTGATGTTTTCATTTCGGCAACCAATTTGGCTCAGTGGATAGAGCGTCAGCCTGGGGACTGAAGGGTCCCAGGTTCAATTCCGGTCAAGGGCATGTACCTTGGTTGCAGGCACATCCCCAGTGGGAAATGTGCAGGAGGCAGCTGATCGATGTTTCTCTCCCATCAATGTTTCTAACTATCTATCTCTTTCCCTTCCTCTCTGCGAAAAATCAATAAAATATATTTAAAAAAGAAAGAAAGAAAAGAAAACAAATTGGCATGGTTTGTATTAGAAACTCTTGTACAAATTGTGATGTGATACTGTGAAACAATTTTAAAACATTGCCTCTTTGCATCACCTACCTCGTTTTTCAGAAACTTTCCAAACTTAGACCTCTACTGTAGGAAATGTTTTCTGAAGAAGAATTCAAAGTAGACAGGATTTATAGAATTAACATTTTAAAATCTAGCCTTGTGAAGCTAGATATGTGGTTCTTTTTCTTACTGGCCTTGAGAATGTATACATAATCTCTTTATAAACTTTGTCAACCAATAACCTTTTCTTCTTCCCAGTTTTCCCTTCATCTCTATGCCGTTTGGGGACTATTTCTGTGAGTTTTTTTCAAGCATCTTTAAAGTGTTGCATTGCAAAGGAGAAGAAAAAACAGAAGTAATTAACTTTTGCAAGAGATGTTCATGTAATTTATTTTGAAAGCTTTGTTGAGGATCTAAGATTTCCTGATGCTTTTTGACAATCTTCTGTATTTATTTAGGAAAAATACGTTACTTGAAAATATGACATAGAACGCTGTTAGTAATTTACATGTGCCGTGTGACCAATAGGAGTACAACATGCTGTGGTCCCACAATAGATTGTTTTCCTGTTGATCTGCACAACAGTTGATCCTTTTACTATAAAAATTTATGTTGGGAGTGTGATCTAAGTATAGTGTGTCAAAGCCAAGGTTTAGAATTTGCTACGGGAATAGAATATATGTTGAATTTTGTATGAATAACTATTTGTTTAAGTTATATAACTAGGATACTTTGCCACTTTTTAAATGATTTGGATATGAAACTAAGATGACTAAGAAAACTAAGATGAGTGATATGTGTGAATATATGTTTAGATAGTGAAGGTACATTTGCATAGTATGTTAAGAATATAAGTAAAATGCACAATGGGACCGAAGAATTAAATAAAATAAGGGTCTAAAGTATGCCTGTCCCACTTTAACTTTGTTTTTACATTTCAAGAATGTATGTAGCACTTTCCTATATATTTTTTAGACATTGAAAACTGGACTTGGTATAACTATATTATAGGAAAGTTTTCATTGTATTCTTTAGTTTCCCATCTTTGTTTTCTGTTATCCTGCAAAGTTGATGCATAAGATCAAGCTCATCTCATTGGTGCATGAGAAGAAGTGGAAGTGATCCGCAAGGAATCAGATTCCCTGTGTGAGGCAGTTTAAATGTCATTCAATGTTCAGTGCTCAGGTATGTAGTAAGTACTGTAGTCCTTTGGGGGCAAATGTGTAGATATTTTTAAACATTTTGCCAAAATTGCACAGTTTTTTGCATTTTTACATGATGGCATTGTTTCTTATAATAAAACTTTTTTTCTGATTGAATAAAAACAAACAAAAAAAGACTTTCAATTACGGTTGACATTCAATATCATATTACCTTCCGGTGTACAACATGATGGTTAGACATTTCTATAACTTGGAAACTGATTTCCCCGGATACGTTTAGAGCCCCCTGGCACCATGTATGCTATTAGTATGTTACTGAGTGTATTCCCCATGCTGTGCTTTACATCCCCATGACTATTCCATACCTGTCAATTAGTACATCTCCATCTCTTCACCTTCACACCCAGCCACGCCAACCCCTCCCATCTGGCGAC